CTTGTACCCCCTCCATGCCGATCATCTCCTTCAGCTCGATGAGTCGAAGACGTCCGAGTGGCTTGGTGAGGATGTCCACGAGTTGCCGACCAGTTTCGACAAACTAGATGACGATCTGCCCTCCATCGACACAGTCCCTGAGGAAGTGGAACTTCACGTCGATGTGTTTACTCCGGTCGTGCAGAACCGGATTCTTCACATGGGCGATGCCGGGCTGGTTGTTCACCATCAGTGCTGGTGGGTGAGCTTCCACGCCGGTCAGCTCGCCCAGCAGCTGGCGTAGCCACACAACTTGGCACGCCGCTGTGGCCGCCGCTACATACTCTGCCTCGCACGTAGATAGCGCCACCAGCTCCTGCTTCAGCGATAGCCATGAAATTGGGGCCGACCCGAGGAAGACGAGCACGCCAGAGGTGCTTCGTCGCCCGTCGATGTCCCCCGCCATGTCTGCATCGCTGAACACAGTGAGCTGTTGCCTACTCTCGCCGGTCTTTGGGAAGATGATCCCATGATCTACCGTCCCCTTGACGTAGCGCAGTAGCCGCTTCACCGCAGCCCAGTGATCCTCTCTGGGATCCTCCATGAAGCGACTGACATAGCCCACGGCGAACGCAATGTCCGCCTCGTGTGGACTAGGTAGCGCAGACCGCCGACGATGCTCCGGTAGAGTGTCGCATCCACCTTCGCCGCGGTGCTGGCCTTCGTCAGTTTCAACCGCTCCTCCATCGGAGTCACGCATGGTTTGCACTCAGCCATGCCGCTCCTCTCCAACAGCTTGGAGGCATACGCACTCTGATGAAGCGTGAGTTCCTCCTTCCCCTGTCTCACCTCGATGCCGAGGTAGTAGGAGAGTGCGCCGAGATCGCTCATTCGAAAACAAGCCGCCATCTCGCGCTTGATGCTGTTGATATCCTCCGTGCGCGCGCTAGTGACGATTAAGTCATCCACATACACGCCGACGATGAGCTTCTCCTTCCCCCGTCGCCGCGTGTAGAGCGCGTTCTCAGTTGCGCACCGTTGAAACCCAAGCTCGCCCAGCGTGGCGTCAAGCTTGGCGTTCCATGCTCGAGGGGCCTGCCTCAGCCCGTAGAGCGCCTTGCGCAATCGGAGCACCCTGTGCTCCTCTCCCTTGACGGCGAAACCTGGAGGTTGCCTGACGAAGACCGTTTCTGCCAGCTTGCCGTTGACGAAGGCCGATTTAACGTCCAAGTGATGGACGCTCCAGTCCTTTGCTGCTACCAAAGCTAGTAGCAAACGGACCGACTCCATGTGCGCTACTGGCGCAAAGACCTCCTCGAAGTCTATGCCCTCGTGCCGAATAAAGCCTCGGGCGACGAGACGCACCTTGTGCTTGACAATGGCACCGAGCTCGTCCCGTTTGACCTTGTACACCCACTTCAGGCTGATCGGACGGCATCCTGGAGGTGGATCGACGAGCTGCCAAGTCTTGTTTTCCTTGATTGCCTTCATCTCCTCCAGCATCACCCGTCGCCAGTTTCCATTGTGCTCGGCCAGCGCGAACGTGGGTGGTTCCTCAGCACTGATGAGTAGCAGCTCTGCGTCATTGAGTAGCCTACCCGCCAAGCCTGAGGGACCTATGCCACCAACGATGTCGTCCAGCTTGCGGAACCACACCTCCTCACCTTCGTGGAAGGCATCCACGAACTCAGTGATGTCACTTGGAGGTGAGGCGAACTCGATCAGCATCGATGGAGTTCCCTGTTCCGCCGGAGTGCTCAGCACAGCACCTGGAGTGCTTGGCACCCCAGGTTCAGTGCTTGGCACTACTTCTGAACTTCTCGTCATAACTCCTGCAGTGTTCGGCCACACTGTAGGAGTGCCCTGCCTCAGTCTTGGAGTGGTCGGCACCACTGCAAGACGTCTTGGCTTCTCCACGGGAGTGCTCGGCACCCGTCCTGGAGTGGTCGCCACCACTGCAGAACCTCCCGGCACCACTCCTGGCGTGCTCGGCATCCCTCTAGAAGTGCTCGACACTCCTCTCGGAGTGCTCAGCATCCCTCCCGAAGTGCTCAGCACTGCCCCAAGAGTGCTCGGTTCTACCGCCAGAGTGCTCAACACTCCTCCCGGAGTGCTCGGCACCTCTTCCCCAGCATCTCCACCACCGTGGATGACCAAGTGCTCGACGATGAAGGTGTTGGTGAAGCTGCCAGCTTCCCCCGTGCTCGGACTGCTCTAGTCCCAAGCCGCCTCCTCGTCGAACACAACGTCGCATGAGACAAGCACCTTTGTCTCTGCGTGGGTCATATAGCCGGTATGCCTTGGTACCCTCCGTGTAGCCCAGGAACACCATGGGTGTGCTCTTGTCCTCTAGCTTGGTGAGGTTTGGCTTTGTCTTCCTGACGTGGACGATGCAGCCGAATGTCCGGAGGAAGGACACGCTTGGCTTACGCCCATACCAAGCTTCGAATGGCGTCTTGCCCGTTAGGGCCTTGGTCGGAGCGCGGTTGAGGATGAACACCGCCGTGGTCACCGCTTCTCCCCAGAACCTTGTCGGCATGCCTTTGGCCTTCATCATGGATCGGGCCATGCCGACCACCGTCTGGTTCTGCCTCTCCACCATGCCATTCTATTGTGGTGAGTACGGCGCGGTGTGGTGTTGCCCCACACCCTGATCCGCGCAGTACGCAGCGAACTCCACCGAAGTGAATTCGCCACCGCGATCAGTCCTCAGCACACGGAGCTTCTTGCCGCTCTCGGCCTCCGCGCGCGTCTTGAACTTCTTGATCGCCGCCGCCGCTTCATCCTTGCTCGTCAGGAGTTGCAGCCACATGTAGCGACTGCAATCATCCATGAGCAGGAGGAAGTACCGCCGACCACCGTTTGTAGCAGGCGTGATCGGCCCGCAGAGGTCGCTGTGAACGAGCTCGAGAGCGTCCTTCACGTGATACTTGGCCGCCTTTGGGAAAGGTAGCCTCCTCTGCTTCCTGTTTAGGTAGCTATCACACAGCTCACCTCCGTGCTTGATGTGGGGTAGCCCTCGGACCATCTTCTCCAGCCGACCAAGCACGTCAAAGCTGAGATGTCCGAACCGGGCATGCCACATCCACGGTTCCTCGTAGTGCCTTGCCGCCAGGCACACCGGCTGCTCTACCTTCAGGTCGAGCAGGTACAACCGGTTCAGGGACCTCTTCACCTTGGCAAGAAGTCGCTGCTCCCGGTCCTGATCCTAAGGACTCCGTCCTTGATCAGTACCTCGCTACCGCGCTCATCCAGCTGACCAATGCTGATGATGCTGGAACGCAGTTGCGGGATGTAATATACATCCGTTAGCGCATGGTGCTCCCCGTTCTAGCACTTGAAGATGATGGTGCCGCGCCCTTGGATAGCCACCCTTGAGCCGTCACCAAACTTTACCGTACCGGTAACATCGTCGTCGAGCTCGGAGAAGGATTCCTTAGAGCCTGTCATGTGGTTACTGGCACCAGAGTCCAGATACCACCGCTGCTCCTGGTCGTCGCCTCTTCCCTCTTCTCGGCCTCGACGTCGTGCAGTGCACAGAACGTCGCCATCAGGATAGTGGCCTCATCATCATCATCGGCTTGCGCCAAGTGAGCCTGAGCCTTCTTCTCCTACTTGTGGTTTGGGCACTCCCATGCCCAATGGCCCATCTTTCCGCAGCACCGACAGGCGTTGGGGTCGACCTGCTTCTTCTCTGAAGAAGCCTTGCCTCGGCGCTTGCCATCGCCACCGCGGCTAGAGGAGGCTGCCTTCCTAGAGTTCCTCCGAGCAGCCCACTCCTCTTCCGTCAGCAGGAGTTTTCCGCTGTCCTTTGTTGTTGTCGCCTGCTCCAGGCGCTCGTCCACTGCCCGCAAATGGCCTGTCACATCCTCAATGGTGAGGTTGGACAAGTCCAGCATCGTCTCTATGGAGAGAGCGATCTGGATGTACTTTGCTGGCACGGAGTGGAGGTACTTGGAGGTCGCCTCCTCTTCATCGATGGTGACGCCGTGGCTCTTCAACTTGCTGATGAGCGTCTGCAGGCAGAGGGAGAAGTCCTCCACCGTTTCACCATCCTTGAACTTGAGATTGGCGTACTCCTGCTTCAGAAGCTGGGCCGTTGCCTTCTTTGCATGGTCGGAACCGACGCGCATCACCGCAATGGCCTCCCATGCCTCCTTAGCCGAGCTCTTCGCCCCCAACGGCTCCCTGTACTCCGCTAGTACAGCAGCGAGGATAGCCTCCAACGCTGACATGTCATCCTCCTCATTGTCGGTGCCCTTGTCAACAGCATTACAGAGCCGTCGAGCTCTGAGCTTGACCTTCATGGTCAGCGACCACTCTCCATAGTTGGTGCGAGTCAGCGTCGGCCAACTGGTGTCGCTGACCTCCCGCACCATGCGAACAACGACCTCCGGTCGTGGCTGGGCAGCCAAAGCAGTGCCACTGCTGTCGCCCATCTCCGAACCGTCCGTCATCGCCAGCGGTTAGTCTGGCGACGGTGCTTGTACGGCTCTGATACCACTGTTGGCCCATAGGATCACCGGCTCAGGCGAGTGAACCACTCACCGGTCTTGCCGAGCACCCTCTAGTGTTGCCGAGCACCCACTAGCCGTGCCGACCACGAACAAGCGTTGTCCGTCCCCACACACTATGGCTAGAGCTTGAAGAAGAAGGGAGAACAGAGCATGCACACACAGTACAAGACACCAGCGTTGGCCGAAGCCCTATCTGAGAGATGGCAAATCTGAACTCTCTTTACTGAGTTGCCATGGTAGTCTATTTATACAACTCTATCCATCTAGTCCCAGTATAGCTGCCCTGCTGCAACAGTGACTAGATAACATACAGGGCTGACTCTGCGCCGGCCACTGCATGTGCCTACAGTGCTGCAGGTGAGCAGTTCGGCGCCTGCACCTGCAGCGACTACAGTATCACAGCAGGGGGCCTTTTCGGCGCCGCCTTCCCCTTGCTGTGTTCACACAAGGTAGCAGTAGATTATCTAACATATACCACCGTTTGAGTACAAATCCACTTCTGAAATGGGTCCTGTGGCTCCTCCAGTCTTCCTCTTTGTTGTTGATACATGTATGATTGAGGAGGAGATTGGCTATTTGAAGTCTGCTTTAGCACAAGCAATTGAACTATTGCCAGATCAATCCCTTGTTGGATTTATTACTTTCGGGACATATGTTCAGGTCATTATCATCTCTCATATTGATACTCCATTGCTGAATGCACTGGTCAACAACTAATACAGAGATTTAATTTATGTAGGTGCCTGAATTGGGTTTTGGCTTGTTGCCAAAGTCATATGTGTTCAAAGGGACAAAAGAAGTTACAAAGGAGCAAATTCTGGACCAAATGAGTTTCTTTGCTGGGAAAACTAAACCCACAACAGGTGTGATCGCAGGCGCAAGGAATGGCCTCTCAGCAGAGAGTATTGCTAGGTTCCTGTTGCCTGCTTCTGAGTGCGAGTTTGTGTTGAATTCAGTTAAGAGCTCTGCTTGATTATAAAACCATGATACATTGGTCAGGGAGTTGGCAAAGTTCTGTAGCACATCAAAATGTGGAACACTAAAATTATGACTCTCAAGTGGCATACTAAAATTCTTTTCCATCATTACGCTGTTGACACTGTTTTCCTTTTTCTGTAGGTAATTGAAGAACTGCAAAAGGACCCTTGGCCTGTTCCAGCTGATAAAGGTTCATCAAGGTGTACTGGAGTTGCATTAAGTGTTGCTGCTAGTCTCTTGGGGGTTTGTGTTCCTGGATCAGGTGCTAGAATTATGGCATTTGTAGGTGGTCCATCTACAGAGGGACCTGGCTCTGTAAGTCAGTTCCTTTTCTTAACATGTTCTTTAGCTTCATTCCCATTTTCTTTATCTACACTGATGCTATAAATGTAGATGTTAGGATGGCCAGGTCATGTTGGCACTCCCAGGGGGAAGGGAGAAAGCTAAGATCGGAATCACTGTTTCTTCTTGCTTAATCACACAGTGGCATAGGATTCCTTGTATAGAGGCTCATCTAACAGATACTGATAAATCACTCTATAATATAGATAAGATACCAAGCAGGTATCCTAGGACACTCATTAGCTATTATGGAATATGGAAAAGCTATAATCTTTTTGGCAACAGGAAAGCTATAATCTTAACCATGAAAAAGGTGTCTTCCAAATCCTTGTGACCTTGCCACACAGGCCTGCTGCTACTGCTATGGTACCTGTGATACTGCTGGCGTGTAACAGTAGCAGTTGCATTTTCTATAGTTGGTGGTGTTTATAATCATTCTCCTACAGTTACAAAACCTATCTCTACTCTCCTTTTGTAAGTAATAATGTGTTTTTTCTTTTCCGTTTAATATGCTGTGGAACTACTTGTAACACCATATCCCAATTGGATTGGTACTGGCTAACAGATTGGGTTTGGCCCTACATGACTAGTCTAGTTGTATGAAAACCTCATGCAATGACCCAAATTGACTGGATTAATTTTAAGAAACTTTATTACAACTACGCTGTTACAGGGCTGTGCATATTTAGAGTTCAGATTCATTTGATGGAAATTTTGTGAATTTGGTACCTTGATCTATGTTCTGCTGTTCTGGATATAGTTTTGTGCTTCTTATCTGTAATGGAAGTATAATAAACCTCTCCAATTCCCAATTTTATATGCAATATGAAAATCAGACAAACCAGTTTTGTCTATTCTGCTTATATTTGATCAATATAGCACGGTTGGTTTCCAAATAAAGTTGAATACCATTTTAGCTTTCTTTCTTTTCACTTCTATAACTCACTACATGCAAATTAGTGATATGCCATCAGGGAAATGTAGGCACGAGCATGTACATGACATTAATTCCCCCTTGAATATTGTTTATCATTGAGAGTCTGATTGTCTCAAATATCATGGCTTTTCTTAAAAAATTGCAATCACTCATTTCTTGCTCTTATGCTTTCTAATGTACTATAATGATATTATTTTCCAAATTTCAGATCGTATCCAAGTCCCTATCAGAACCAATTCGCTCGCACAAAGACCTCGATAAAGGTTCAGCTCCACTTTATAACAAAGCTGTTAAATTCTACGAGGATATCTCTAAGCAGCTTGTGAATCAAGGCCATGTACTTGATTTATTTACTTGTGCGCTTGACCAGGTTTGTTGCCTTCTTTTTCTGTTCTTTTTAATTTTTTATGAAAATTTAGTTTTGTTTGCTTGGTTTTGGTTGTTTAGTTAGAAATTAAAGAAAAATTGATATGCAATAATTTACGGACTTATATTGCACAAGCATTTTTTTGTCTCACCAAGCCACTATATGAATATAATGACCAATCAACAGAAACTTTAGGCTCGTGATGCTTCAACCAATTTGGTGAAGTAACTTACATATTTTTTTCTGATGTTGTAATTGGTTTGAACATTCAGCTACCAAGTAATCTCATTCTCCATCCATTCTTCCATGGGACTAAAGTCTTATCTTGATTCCATCGATTGTTCGGTTCTAAAGGTTACCAACCAATGGACTCATGTTTCACCATTGTCTTATCTCATTTGTTCAACTATATATATAGTTTTTTTATTAGTGGTTTTTTTCATTTGTGAAGCAATTTGAGCTCAAAATCACTTCAAGCTTACATATTTATATGAAGGAAGGTTAAAGTAGCTATTAAAAACTAGTATTCACCGTTCATTTGTAGCATGCATTAGCACACTTCATTGTTTACCAAGATACTCTCATGAGAATGTTTATCTCAGTTTTTTTAATTTTATTTGTTTTTTTATAAAATGAGAAATTTATAGTGTATGAAGGAAAAATGATTAAAAACTAGTATTCAGTTCATTTGTAGATGCATAGCACACTTCATTGTTTAGAGGTCCTCGAGCCTCTCATGGGTTTATAAAAGAGAAATTTATAGGGCCTAAAAACTCATTGCATGATGGCAAGTGTTGTGATGAGTTTCCAAAGCGAAGATTGCATGCGGCAAGTGATGAAATTGTGATGAAAGTGAAGAAGGAGGGTCCCAATAAGGGTCGTATTTTCTACAATTGTCCGGATCACAATGTGAGTTATTTTATCGTATTTAATGACTATAGTTAGTTTATACCTATTTTCATGATGGTTATGATTAAAGTTCTAATTTTTTGTTTTAATTTCAGTGGGATGGCACTGGATGTTCAGGCTTCTACTGGGAGGAAGAGTATGTTGAACTCGTGCAAAAATATCTTGCATAACAGGCAGATATGGTGGCTAATGAGGCAGTGATCCAGCCGAAGAAGCCTAAAGATGTTGAACAAACGGGGGATCTGTCTATTTTAGTTGGGATTGGTCGCGAAATCCTTGTGCTGCTGAAGTGCATTTTAGTTTTAGTGTTTTTAGTGGTAGTTGGGATTGTCTACATTGTAGCGAGGCTTTCTTAAATTTATAGCTTTTGTGGTGGTATGCATGTTGTATAATTAACTAATTATGTTATAGGTTTTAATACGGTATTTATGTCATGTAATGCAGATGAGTCGGCATTGGATGTACAATGCTGATCGTCGCTCCCAAGAGTTCATGGACAGCGTGCATTCTTTGTTACGTGCGGCCGAGGCAAACAAACGCGATGGTTTCATGTGGTGCCCATATGCCGTATGTAAGAATACGATGGAATATGCTAACTCAAAGACTCTTCATCCACACTTGTTCAAGTCGGGTTTCATGCCAAACTATATTTGTTGGACGAAGCACGGAAAAACCAGAGTTGTAATGGAAGAAGGTGAAGAAGAACAATGGGGCGATGATGACATTTTTGCTAAATATGGTGCCTTCAATGATACTGCAATGGGGTAAGCTGAAGAAGAGGTGGGGGCAAAGGAGAAGCCCGCTGAAGAAGAGGTGGGGGCAGAGGAGAAGCCCGCTGAAGAAGAGGTAGGGGCAGAGGAGGAGCCCGCTGACGATCTTGGTCAGGCCATTCGTGATGCACAAAGAGAATGCGAAAGTGAAAAGGAGAAGATCAAGTTCGACCGCATGCTAGAGGACCACAAGAAATTGCTATACCCAACTTGTGATGCGGGACAGAAAAAGTTAGGTACCACATTGGAATTGCTGCAATGGAAGGCAAAGAATGGTGTATCTGACAAGGGATTCGTGGAGTTACTAAAAATCCAAAAGAAGATGCTTCCGAAGGATAACGAATTGCTCAGCACTACGTACGAAGCAAAATAGGTAGTCTGCCCTTTAGGATTAGAAATCCAGAAGATACATGCATGTCCTAATGACTGCATCCTCTACCATGGCACGGAGTACGAGAAGTTGGATGCATGCCCTGTATGTCACGCATCGTGGTATAAGATCAGGCGAGATGACCCTGGTGATGTTGAGGGTGAATGTCCCAAGAAGAAAATCCCTGCCAAGGTTATGTGGACGCTTACAAGAAATTTGTACCAGGCCAGAGTCTATACAACCCAGAGAAATTAGGTGAACTGGGTACGCAAATGTACCTGCTAAACGGGTGGTACATGTCGACGTCTGATGCGGGACAAATCCATCTTTCTGTCAGAATTAGAAACCACCATTACTTCCGTGGCAATGACATTATCTATGTCGAGCTTCCAGAATTACACCAACGACAAAAGTCTCATTAGCTGCTATTGTCTGTAAGTGTGATTATTTTCTACTATATTCACAATTTCTTTATTATATATTCACAATATATATATTCACAATTTTCATGTATGCAGATATGAGATGACAGAACTTAGAAAGAGAAAGGATAATGATGTTGGGTTCGTTGATCCGTATGTCGTATACAAACACCCTAACCCCCGAAGGATTATAAGCCTCAACCTGAGAGAAATCTCATGAATTTCTTAGTGAACCAACGCGACAAGAAGGAGATACTCTTCCCCTACAACTTCAAGTGAGTGTTATTATAAGTAATTAATGTCGATCATATATATGGGACATTAATATTTCCTTACTAGCTAGTTACCTCTCTCACACACACACATATATATATGTTTATGCAGCAATCACTGGATATTGATGGTCATCGATATGGCCAATAGTAGATTGAAAATCTTAGACTCGTTGAGAAAACCGCAAACGGAGTATCAAGACATGATAGATATTATACAATGGTAATTAATTTAGTTTCTCTATAACAACATATATATATATATAATGGCGCCGATCTCTCAACAATTATTAAATGTTAAATAATTTTTTTATTTTATTGGGAGCAGGGTTTGGAAAAGGTTCATTGAGGAACAAAAAATAAAACATTGCAAAGCGCCACTGGGTGTAATCGCACACAAAGTAAGTACTATAACTACACATTTATATTCAATTAACACCATATGATGATTTCAATTCACCCTAATTGATTTTTTTGTCGTAAAAGTAGGTTCTAAGGCAGCAGCAGGGTAACAACTACTGCGGATATTATGTTTGCGAGTTCATCATGGCGTACTCAAAGAGAACTCCTGAAGAGCAACTGAAAGTACGTATATAAATACTTTTTCCTTTATATTATTTCGATCGTATATTTACAATTTTTTTATTGCTCTCATTTGTATAAGTAATTACATGAGCAATACACATACATATATATATATATTAATACTTTTTTCTTTAACTTTTATTGAAGATTGAATGGTTGAGGGAAAGAGTCATACGACTTGACCAACTTAAAGCAATTCGAGAGACTATAGCAGGATTTCTAAATGACCAGGTCATCAACCCCAACGGCGAGTTCTACAATGACCCGAACGAAACGTGGATGCCAAATCTGGAGGAGTGAATTGCTAAGGACATAAACAATTTATATATCAAAGCTTTGTAATATATATATATATATGTATGTACATATTATATGTACATAAAATAACGTGTGTATATATATGATCATCATATATATATGCATGTACGCGTATATTCGTTTGTTATTTATGTACAAAGTTCGAACGAAAACTTACGCGTGCGAAGTACACATATATATTACTATTAGCAGTGTATTCGAAAATGTATTTTAATATCAAAACTAATCATTAAATGAAAAAAACCAAAAATAGAAACCAGAAAAAGGGGAAAAAAAAAGAGGGACATTTAGTTCCGGTTGGTAACACCAACCGGGACTCAATGTCTTGCCCCGTGGCGGTCCCTGGCCAGGCCTGGAGGCCCCCTTTACTCCCGGTTGGTGTTTCCAACCGGGACTAAAGGGTTAGTCCCGGGCGTCAAGCCGGGACTAAAGGAGGGTACCTTTAGTCCCGGATTGGTGCTCCCGGTTGGGAAACCGGGACTAAAGGGGTTTCCCAACCGGGAGCAAAAAGCCTTGTTGCATCATTGATTTGTCCTTTGTATAATAGTAGTTGCTAGTTTCTGCGACAAAAATAGCCAAATGATTTGTCATTTGAAATAGGGTAATGAACAAACTACCAGTAGTTAGTAAAATCTCAGTTGTGTGTCAGTTTATGGTGCGTAGGCTGCTTTTGAATTAAAATTCTTGTTTATATTCTCTCTCAGGTTGGTGTTGCTGTGGAGAGAACTGGTGGAATAGTTGTGCTTGCAGAAAGTTCTGGTCATTCTGTTTTTAAAGACTCACTTCGATGCTTCTTTCAGTCAAGTGACAATGATCTTGATTTATCATTCAAGTAAACACAGCACGTCCGGTCAGGTGGATCATGAAGACGCTGGCGTCGGTCTCTGACCGGACGCTGGGTCACTTAGTGACCGGATGCTGAAGGGCTGCGTCCGGTCATGCTAACGTGGCAATGCACAGGGGAGTCGCCGTGTGACCGGACGCTGGGTGTGTTCGGTCGAGCGTGACCGGACGCGTCCGGTCGTGAAAAGTCGTCTCTGGATGCTTACTGGAAACGACCGGACGCTGGGGTTTAGCGTCCGGTCACTTTGACCTGCTACGTCCGGTCATCTCTTGACCGTTGAGATCGGGCGATCAACATTTGAAGAGAGGGGACACGTGGCACGCATCGCGTGACCGGACGCTGAGGTCTAGCGTCCGGTCAATATGACCGGAGCGTCCGGTCACCCCGTGTTGTGCCCAGTGAAGGGGTATAACGGCTCTATTTCATGGGGGCTTCTATTTAAGCCCCATGGCCGGCTCAAGCTCACTACTCTTGGCCATTTGCATTGACATAGCAACCTTGTGAGCTTAGCCAAAGCCCTCCCACTCATCTCCATCATAGATTCATCATCTTTGTGAGATTAGGAGTGAATCCAAGTGCATTGCTTGAGTATTTGCATCTAGAGGCACTTGGTGTTCGTGTTTCGCTGCGGGATTCGCTTGTTACTCTTGGTGGTTGCCGCCACCTAGACGGCTTGGAGCAGCGAGGATCGTCGAGCGGAGGTTGGTGATTGTCTCCAGCTCCGATCGTGGTGATTGTGAGGGGTTCTTAACCTTTCCCTAGCGGAGAGCCAAAAGGTACTCTAGTGAATTGCTCGTGGCTTGTGTGATCCTCATCTTGTGTTGGTTGTGCGGCATCCTATTGAAGGTTTGGCGTGCGATGCCAATTAGCGCGTGAATCACCAAGTGAGTGAATCGCCACAATGAGGAGTAGCTTGCCGGCAAGCAAGTGAACCTCGGTAAAAATCATTGTGTTCATCATTTAATTCCGAGGTGATTGGTCTTCATTGATATTGATTCTTGTGATTGATCGGTTCACTCCTCAACACGGTTGTATAACTATCTTGCTCACTCTCTTTACATTACCGCAAACTAGTTGTCAAGCTCTTTAGTGTAGCTAGTTGTGAGAGCTTATTAGTTTGGTTAGTGTGGCTCTTTAGTTAGCATTTGAGAGCACACTAACTTAGTGTAGTGATATAGCTATTGTGTGGATAGAAACTATATCAACTAGAATTGTGGTAGGTGGCTTGCATTCTTGGTAGGCTGGCGCACCACTTACTTCGCTTCATAATTGTCTAACCGGTTTGCTAAGTGTTGTTGTAGAAATTTTTATTAGGCTATCCATCCCCCTCTAGCCATTAGGACCTTTCAGGTGATCACAATCATTTTCTGCTTAATTTGTCGATGGGTATCACCTTTTTTTTCTCATGTAGGAACTAATAGATGGCTCTGATCAAGAGGCAGCTGCTGCATGGCACGCTTGGTCTCATTTAAGATGGAAGCTGAGGTACTCGACGACATGTATTAAATTATTTTACCATTAGCACATACATGATAGATGAACTTATTTCACTTGAGAAAATGGTATGACAGTATGATGAATATAGTGCAGTAATAAAATGTTGCCAGCTTACTGTAGTTAATATTTCCATTTCGGAGCCTTAATATACTGATAGTATAACCTTCATGCTTCTTTCAGGCTGATTTTGACCCGATAAGGTGGCTTGATCGAGCATTGATTAGTTTATGTTCGAAATTTGGAGACTATCACAAAGAAACACCCTCATCCTTCAGTTTATCCCCTCGTCTGTCCATATTTCCCCGGTTCATGTTTAATTTGAGACGATCTCAGTTTGTTCAGGTAAAGCTTTTTGCCTCATTATTGAGCAGTTCTGATCAACAGATCATGCAAAATCACACTTCTCGGTGCATTGATTATTTTTACTTCCCATGCAGGTTTTTAACAACAGTCCCGATGAAACTGCATATTTCACAATGATGTTAAACATAGAGAATGTATCAAATGCAGTTGTGATGATCCAGCCATCACTCATATCTTATTCATTCCAATTGGGTGCAGAGCCAGTTCTGTTGGATGTAACTGCAATTGCAGCTGATAGGATCCTTTTGTTGGATTCTTATTTTACTGTTGTCATATTCCATGGGATAACAATTGCACAGTGGCGAAAGGCTGGTTACCAATATCAAGAAGGCCATGAGGTAATATATTGTCAACCAAAACCTTATATATTAGATTTGGTCTATTGAGCTTCATGTAGCTTTTATTCTATGCATTTGCACATATGGCTACAAATAACTGTATCCATGCTTGATTTTTAAACTCTTTAACAGTGTGCCTTGACATTAAAATGTTTTGCAAGTCTTACGGTCTTCTTATGTTAAGAAAAATAAGCTTACTATTCTGTGGTTTCATAGCCTTTGGACATGAGACTGTTAGGCCTATCTACGAACAGTGGGCTTCATTATGTACAATATACATCCTGATGTGCTACATTACCAAACCGACAACTAACCTTGTGTGGTGTCCAGTCATTTGCCCAGTTGTTGCAGGCTCCACAGGAGGAAGCTGATGCAATAATCAAGGAACGCTTTCCTGTGCCGCGATTGGTCGTGTGTGATCAATATGGTTCTCAGGTTATTTCTTTTATATTCTATTCTTGTTTGTTCTTTGTTAGATTATTTCAACACACTGCATTTTCCTTCAGGAAATTTCTTTGTGTGTATCTATTTATTGCAAACATTTGTTCTCTCTACTGGATAAGGTTCACAAATTCACCATACTTTCAATTTTAACTAGTGACCCAAGTTTCAGTTGAAAATTGCATTGTAGGCCGAATAGCTGATCAGCATATCTGGGGATGCTAATGGGTCATTGATTAGCTGGGAACCCAAAAGAATGTTCCTTGTGTTCTTTTTTTCTTGTTGAAATCCATGTGGTCAGCCTTCATCAAATAGCCAGACATTTCAAAACCACCAAATTATTGGGCAATGGAAACTACCTAGTTATATAAACTTTGACTTTATTAAGTTGTAATAAGACAGTTCTATACATTAACATCAAATAAAAGAGGAAGGAAGGAATGCCATTTGTATTTAATTTACTTTCTTTTGAAAATTGCAGGCTCGATTTTTGCTGGCAAAGCTTAATCCATCGGTCTCGTATGACAATCCTCCAGCACCAGGAGGGGATGTCATATTCACAGATGATGTGAGCTTCCAGGTCTTCATGGATAATCTCCAGCGCTTGGCCGTTCATTAGATTATTATTATTCTGGTGATACACTATGCACTGCAATTTTGCACGGCGTGGGACTAATTTTATCGTGTAACCAATTGTTGCTCTGCATCTGTACATCGTCTTGGTCATTGACAGTTTTCTGATCCAAGAGCAACTATTATACACCATGTAAATAGGGTGCCGTTTCTCGTTGCTAATACGAAAATTTCAAAGCAGGCCGGTTTGTTCAATCCATACACTACCCCAGATCTGGACATCACTGTCGATTCAAAAACCCACTTCACTGCCGGATTTTGAACCGACAGTGGCATACCCGCAGTGATGTGGGGTTGACATCACTGTCGGTCCTTAAAACCGACACTGATCTACAGGAAACAGTATCGGTTCCTAGCTCCACCCGGCAGTGTCCAGTTGAACAACACTGCCGGTTTGTAGTCCCAACCGACAATGACGGTTGCTTCAAGAGTGTCGGTTCTTGGCTCAAGCCAGCAGTGTTGAGCAAGCCTACACTGTCGGTTCATGGATCAAACCGGCAGTGTTGTTGTAAATATCAGTGTCGGTTGGTGGAACAAACCGGCAGTGTTGTTGTAAATATCAGTGTCGGTTCGTGGATCAAACCGGCAATGTTGTAGTAAATATCAGTGTCAGTTCTTGGCTCAAGCCAGCAGTGTTGAGGAAGCCTACACTGTCGGTTCATAGATCAAACCGGCAGTGTTGTCCTAATCATCAGTGTCGGTTCATGATTCAAGCCGGTAGTGTTTAGCAAGCCAACACTGTCGGTTTGTTTCTAACCGGCAGTGATAGTTACAACAACACCGCCGGTTTGTTGCTAACCGGCGGTGATGGCCCGTTCGTATTTTATTGTTTTATAATTTATTTTAATTTATATTTTTTCGTGGGATTGGGTTTCGCTTTATATACGCTACGTAGACGATAGGTCCATCAATATTAAACATTACAAATGTTACGGTTACAATTCAAATGTTCTTATCCAGATCTCGATCCCTCAAATTAAAAAAGAAATGTTCTCGGACTTCTTACAATAATCTGGCGAGCCACTCTGGGCCATACTGGTCCTTGTACTTTATGGATTGTGCAATGGAAAATAGTCCATCTTTTTCCAATACCTCGGCTAAGATGAATTTTGCCAGCTCCGATTGTAGTGCGACGATCTCCATCTCTAGCAGCCTTTCGTGCTTAAATTTCTTGCGCTGTCGTTCAAAAAAGATGATATCCAAAGAGGAACAGTAAATCATTTTGTACTTATCAGCTTCTTCCGATTTCCCGCCGATGTAGCGAAGCATTGCCCACATTACATAAAACCCGCATTCATTGTTTCCCGCCGGCTGTGATAGATACTTCCCCTCCATTTCGACAACCTTGAATGGGACCGGCTTCCCACCGATATGACTTCTTCGGACACTGAGCAACATTAAAAGAAGAAACATTAGAAAGCGGGTATGTGTGATTAGAAAATAATATGTTATTAGGATCGCTTACTAATTCAGCACTGACACCAGTGCATCTAGATGATGAAATGGTTTTTTCTTCGAGTCCCACACCTCGAGCAGATTTTTTGCAAGATTAACACAAATGAAGACAAAATGGTTGCTACAATCACAGAATTCTAATTATCGAATAATCTTAACGAAAAAAGAAGCATAAAATTAAAAGCCGAGAACACATACTCGCACTTGTAGGCTAGAAGTATGTGGGTTTTCTTCTTCATCATGAATTCGTCGAAAACAGCAATCAATCTCTGTTTCAGGTTTTCCACATCACATCCATAGAGGCCTAGACATGTTCTATCATTGACTCGCATGGGGTCCAAGAAGCCTATGTAATCCCATTTGCTTTTTAGAATGCAAAATTTTGCTATACACCTAGATAAAATCATAGGAAGTGCTCAAGAGTTAACAATTTGTGTCTCGAGAGAGTAGTTAATTGTAATATCGTGCGTGTAGGGTACTTACATAGTCCACAGCGTCAACAGTTGAACATCGAGATCGCGTTTCTGTTATAGCTGGAACAAGCACTCCCACTCGACATTGAACTTCTCTTCTTCAGGATAATTGAAAACATGTGGCGAACGGATAATAACCTCAAAACCAAAGCTGTCCGTCTCTGTTGCTTGAGCCATGTAATATTCATGTAAATGGCGCATATATGTTGTCAGATTTTTAAACTCATGATCGGGAACCAAAAAATTGCCCCTTACATACTTCATTGCTGGTGTTGTCGTCCCTTGTACATCATAATAGATTGTCGCGGCCTCTTCCATGGTTAATCCTAGGTTGTCTTCGATGTACTTCTGTATGTTCCTTAAATTTTTATTGTGTATTTCTTCGTCTCTTGTTGTAGCGTATTTATTCTGTGTTTGCCTTTCAAATTCGGACTTCAACATAAACGAAGGCAGTGAGGCACAGAGATTGAAGAAACTAATACAATCTTCCTTCTTGACGTGTGCTGTAAATTTTTCTTCCATCAAGGAGGTAACGCTGCCACTGAACGGCCTTTTTCTTTTCTGTTGGTCCACTTTGGGAGCATTAGCGACCGAATCCAAGGACCTTTTCTACGACTGCGAGGATGCCCTTGATCTTGTTTTGGGCTGAGGTGGAGGAGGAGGAGGATGACGACGAGAATTCTGTTTTCCCGACGCTGATGAAGATGGAGTCGGACGAGGAGGAGGAGGAGGAGGAGGAGTCTCTTTTCTCGGGGCTGATGAAGATGGAGTCGGATGAGGAGGAATAGAAGGAGACCTCTGTCTTCTCGGGGGTGATGGCTTCGGATGAGGAGGGGAGTGATCTCTGTTGGGAGATGGTGAGTTATCATCGTGGGTTGGCGAAGACTCGCAGTCGTCCTCATCATCAGAGGACAATTGGTGATCAAGTTTAATGAAGCGCTTGCGCCAGGCCACTTGAGAGCCCTTGTTATGACCCAGTTTTGGCCTATCTTCCGCTACGGGGTACTTAATGGATATCTTGTTATACTTCTTATCAAGTATTCTGTCAATGGTGACGCGAGCGTACCCCAGGGGAATTGGGTGGCCATTAATTGTCCCGTCTCCCACAGGCTAGGCCTGGCCGAGCGCCACCTTGTCCTTTGTCCATTCCTGACGGATGTACAACCTGACATTGACGGGTTCAGTGATGTCGTCCACCGGATGAGGCACATTCGCCTCTTCTTCGTCGAGCGGGGTCGATCCGTAGCTGCTGCGACCCCTAAATTGTGGGCTAAAGGCAGTAGGAGTAGGGTTTTGTGATACTACTGACCCATTGGACAACAAAATTTGCTCGACTCGCGCTTCAACGGTCGCCTCAATCCATGCTTCCATTCTATCTTCCATCTCCTTTAGTCTCCTCAAATACTCTACCTCATGTTCCTCTCTACCCCTCGAGCGGCTCTGGTAAGTGTTAGATTCTTGGGGGAATGCTAGTTTTCAAGGAACAACACCGGTTCCTCTAGTGCGACCAGGGTGCTCCTTGGTTCCGAGTGCTTGTGTGAGAACGTCTTTCTCCCTATTAGAAGTGTGAGTCCCTTGCCTCACCTCCTCAGTTACCTAGGAGATCCTCTGGATGAGTTCGCTCATGGGTAGATTTGAGGAGCTAAAGCTCCCGTCCTTGGCGTGCCGTACATTCCTCCCCATACAGTATATTACTGATCTGGGCTCCCAATCGGTGGTCTCAACCTGAACGCCTTCCTCAGCAAGGCGATCCATCTTTTGAAGTTCTGCTTCAAATTCTGGCATCTTTTTGGCGTAGCCACGAGAGCCGAGATGATGAGGATTCGTCGCTTTCTGCGAATTCTCCTTATTCTACATGCTCAGTTCTAAGTACTCCTCAGATAACCTGTATTCCTTGAAAGCCTGCCAGAAGTCCTTCTGCTTGCTAAACTGTCCACCATCGAAATCTGGCTCTTTATTTTGGAGGACAAAATTCTTGTACCATGTCCCCTTGAAATTCTTGAAGCATGTTCCCATGATTTCTTTTGCTTTTTTCTTGACTAACTCCCTGTCATAATCGGCTGGGAAAGTGAAATACTCTGGGATCTTGACATCCCATATGTAATCCTTCTCGCTTTTGGGAACCCTCCACCGGTCATCATCTTTCCCAATCCACTTCCTGTACTTAATCGGGATGAAGTCCTTAACAAGTAACCCGAGGATAGTCTTGTATTTGGTCAAAGCTATAGGCGGTGAGAGTGCATCCCCGAATTCATCGAACTTAGTAATGTGCCAGTGTGCATTCCTACCAACAGGAATCTTTGACACGCCTCGCTTGGATCTGGCCTTCCTGCTACCCAAACCCTCTGGCTCCTCGGCCGGCGGAGGCTCCTGCTAGAGACACCAAGTAAGGTATGACCCTCTCAATTGATTAGCGTGTGTGGCTACATAGTGACATGATACCAAAGTTACCTGGCCATCTTGGTCATTTTGACCCAGATCGACCAAGCCGGGCGGGTTCCATGTCCGCTCGTTCTCACCGACCTGATTGACACCATCACCGTTTGTCGGATCATGCGGCTCTCCCATCCTAGCGATATCAGCCGCTTCTTGTTGCCGATCAGTTCTTCGGCGACGAGTAATAGGCGACGATGAGTCATGGCTGTGACACGATCGTGGTTAGTTTTGGCCACGGACAACTACTAATAGCATATGTTCATATATATATATAATATGTTTAATGCAAAGTCTAATAATAAGTCCACGTACAACAAAGTCAAATAATAGCATATGTTCACCTAGAACAAATTCATTGTTTGATTGACCACATACAACAAAGTCCACCTACTCTTCTATGAAACTAAGCCTACATCAACTTCCAAATAAGAAAAGCGATGACCATAGCCATAAATAAAAGCATGACATCTTTCCAAGACCAAGGAGCAATTCTTGTAATCTTCACATCTCCGGCGGGTGGCTTCTCTTCGATCTCCAGTGCCAGCGGATGGCCATGGTTTGCATTCATTGGACCATAGTAGGCCGGTTGCCCATCATTTGCAAGGTAGGCCGGATGACTATA